TGAGACGCTGAATAGCTTGAATAACCTTGCAGTAGTGTTATTAAAACTAGGAAAGTGGGAAGAGGCTGAAGAAATGCATCGGCGAGCGCTGCAAGGATATGAGAAGATATTAGGGCGCGAGCACCCTGAGACGCTTGATAGCTTGGATAACCTTGCAATAGTGTTATCAAAACGGGGAAAGTTAGAAGAGGCTGAAGAGACGCTTCAAGAGACGCTACGAGGACGTGAGAAGATATTTGGGCATGAGCACCCTGAGACGCTTGATAGCTTGGATAGTCTTGCAGTAGTGTTATTCAAACGGGGAAAGTTAGAAGAGGCTGAAGAGATGCTTCAAGAGACGCTACGAGGACGTGAGAAGATATTTGGGCACGAACACCTAAATACACTGACCAGCCTTTACTATCTAGCGGTTTCTATTCATATGCAGAAGCGCTACTCTGATGCGCTTGCGCTGTACCAAGAAGCGCATGATGGGTTTTCAAAAGTGCTTGGAGCGCAGGATCCGAAGACTCGATACTGTTTGTTGGTTCTTGAGCTCGCTCGAAAGGGTGAAGACATTCTTCCCGAGTGGTTGTAAATACCTAATTCAATTGCAACAAGGGAATTCTCTTTTTTCTCTATTTATGAATCTTTTTTTTTGGGTGAATAGTACTGCACTGCAGACATGAATATATGAAAGGAAAAAAACCAACCTGGACACATTCCCTAGTCCACTCTAGCTATAGATCGTACACAAATCACATGCAACACCGAAGAAAACAGACACCTTAATGCGGAACTAGCCGCACACAAAACCACAATACAAATAAGCCTGTTCATAAGATTCCTTGCTTGGTGGTATATACAAAAACCCCTTTCGCCCCATGTCTTCCCTACCAGGATCGACGAGAGAAAGTCCAGTCTCATATACTGTATCTACCGACCATACTTTCTAGACACTTCCCACAATACCCCCAAAACGTCCAATATACCCTACCACCGTACCCCAAAATCCCCCGCCCCAAAAACCCACACCACTACTTCCCCCCCTGCGCCCCTGTTGTCCCACCACCCGATCCCATCTGGCCCTCCGCCGCGGCACCACTCGAAGGTGTCGCTGCAGACGACGAAGATGCATAGTAGGACGTATGCGAAGTATTCTGCCCGCTAGCTTGTGGCGACGCAACACTACTCGTAGTACCACTATTGCTCGTACTAGTATCGCTCGTGGTATTTGGCTTGGAGACTTGAAAGGGCGCGAAGCGAATTGGTGGGATAAACATTCTGAACCCCCGTAGTATATCTCTCTCTTTAAAAACCAAAATAATTATTTCGGCGAGTTTAGCTTGTTTGACTGCTTTTTTTTTGTTTTGTTTCCAGCAAAGATAGAAGGGGGGTGATGGTATGAGCTTTGTTTGATATCTTGATGCCGTCTTCTGGTCATCTATCCAGTATTTAAATACTTCAACGTCTTTATTTTCTTACACTTTCTCCATCTTACTTTTGTTTTTTCGCATTGCTATGTTTAAGTGCGTGTGAGATGGTCATTCGCATTCATCGCTCCCTCCTTCCCCCCCCCCCACTTTCACCGCGCGAGCGCGCAAAAAATAGATATTTAGCAGTAGTAGATTATGTGTTTGTTGTACTCCCGACGTTTTGCCGTATGCGAAGAAAGCGAAGGGTGGAAAGAACGTCAGAAAGTAAGGCAGAATACTTAGACGTACTATGCGTCAATAGCGAGATACGTAGGTAATGGAAATTGGGGAAAATAGAAGCAAATGACGATGGGAAATGTTTCAGAAGCAACGTTGACACTAGCCGATTGGCGTAGGGTTTATTTTTGGGAAGCAAAAGGCACGATGATGTTTGTGGTTTTTGTGACGGTGAACCGCATTAAGGGTAGTCTCGTCTGCCTTGCCGTTCAGCCCGCCGGTTTGCGCTAAGTAGCCGTGGGCTGTGTTTCTATCTGCGTGTGTGTGGGGGGCTAGCGCGCAGGCACATGATTTCGCGTCGCGTTGCTCGTATGCCCGCGGTGAGAAGTTTTTAGTAGTAGTAGGGACTGGGATGTGTTATGTAGGTGTGCTGATGGTTTTTTTTGTGGCCAACACCGAGTATCAAAGTGAAACATGACAGTTTTTTTTCTTTGTGTGGTGGTGGCGATGACTCGGGATGTGGAGTGGGGGGAAGGGGGGGAAGTGGGGGGGTTTGGATGGCAAGCTGGGAACTTTTCATGTGTCCGCGCATATGCTATTTATGGTAGAAATAAGGTACGAAGTATGTACATAAGTATGCACATGTGCGTGCAGATGGGGGCGGACATTTTGTTTCATGACGCGAAGGCCGTGAGCCATGTTTGGAATGCAGGATTCCCAGATTCCTAGATGTGAACTGTGTTTTTAGTGGGTTGTAGTGCTCATATGTCACGTGCTTGGCGTTGATGGTGTAACGGCAAGTAGGAAGAGTTTGACGGTATTTTTTTTTTGTAAAAAAAGGAGGTGAGAACTGTTCTTGCCCCCGACGTCTCACCGCTTCGGGCTGCCGCTTTGGTGTAAGTGGTGACGTGTTTCTTTTTACACGGTAGTCTATATGGTGGTGAACAAGGAGGTTGTCTCGGGCCCGGCATGGGTTGATGCGCGGGTAGTAGTGTAGTGCAGCGTATAGTTTGGGGCAGGGTGATGTGCATACTGCATGCCAGGGTTGTGGGACACAGCGACAGGGCACGGAACCGACTTTTGGCTTTTGGTAAACTTCATCCACACCTCTACTACCACTACTACCACTACTACTATACAGTGGTTATCGATGCGGTGATGCACAACTGTGGCGCACACGCAATATGTATACGACACTCTTGGTACAAATGGCGGCGGGTATGATCTGACATGATCTGGGATGAGTCGAGATGAGTCGGAACGGGTGCAAGGGTGTGCCGACGGTGCCAGCCGGTATTCGTCCGTGGAAGAGGGAAACTCGTCGGCACGCGAGAATTGCGAGTGCCGGCGCGGCTGATCCGGACGATGGCTGTTATGTATACGGCGGTTCCCTCGAACAGATAGCCGCAGACAAGTGTATCAAAGACGTCAAGGTACTGTCCTTGGATCAGAGCCCCCCGATATGGTCACGCGAAAGAACCGACGCTCAACATGGCCTTTACAGATTCTTTGCCTGCCTTGTTCGCAACCAAACCAGACTACCCCAGCATGACTCAAACAGGAGCATGTACACGAGGAGCGCTGACAAATGTACTGTCAAATTGGCCGAAGGCATCAAGTCTTCAAACGACGCATCGCATCCATCAGCCCTAAAAAGTGGGCTTGAGCCATGGCATTGGTCTAGCGCTCCCTCAACAGCTAATTTGTCCCTGCATGTAAGTTTTGATCCATCGCCAGGTGACGCCCTTTTTTTTGCGTTCTAGTATGTTCGCTTTTGCTTTTGTCCGGGAAAAGGCCTGGCATGACGTCGAGATGAGTAGGCGATCGTAGCCTGCTTGGCTGCATATCGCCTTGTCTGGATGCCATCTAACGAGAGAATAGAGAAGGAATGCCCTTGACCGGGCTGCTCAACTCGATGATTAACAAGCACTAGCAGCAAAAGCTGCCGTTAGAGACGCCGGCGCCATGGAGTAGAACTGTGTAATGGGGCGCTGGGCGGCTCAATGTTCCCCATCCCCACACGCATGGCGGTATAGCATGTTACATGCACATGTGCAATCTGCTTAGCTGCTTAGCCCTCGACTCTTTGACCTCTCCGGTCCTTATTGACCCACTTAACGCTCTTATCTCCGGTCACCGACGGGCGTATCGGGCAACCGTTGCTCATTAGTACTTATTATATTAACTAGTTGTTGTGATCCTCTCCATCGACTTGTTACTCCCTGTGTTTTGCGTGGCACTAATTCCTCTCTTTTTTTTCTCTTCAACACCCCACCACCCATTTCCCCGGGAATAACCGACTTTTCACATCTCTGGCTACGACGACTTTGCCCCCCTTGTTCCCTCGTTCACGACCCTTCAATTGATCCCAGGGCGCGCCCTGTTCCGCCCGCCATTATGGACAACCCTGGTGCGCGTGATGCTCATCCACATGAGCATACCGACGGCCCCACGTTTGAGGCTATCCATACCAACCATCACGACAATGCGAGCATAAACACCCCGTCAGTCGACGATACCACCGCGCGCAACTCCCCAAAGCCAGACGAAAAGGACAACAAGTATGGTGTCGATGTTCATCGTGCCGAAGCGGATTTTGCCCAATTGTCCAAAGAGCTCTCACGCACTAGCAACATCTCGCGCCGGATGAGTCGAGTTCAGAGCAAGCATAGTCGCAAAGATCAAGTCGCAGATGTCGAGAAGGCTGGCTCAGAATCCTCGGATGAGCCTTTTGATCTCGAGGCAACACTGCGCGGTGCCCGTGACGAAGAAGAGAGATCTGGAATAAAATCTAAGCGCATTGGTGTGATATGGGATGGGCTCACCGTCAGCGGCATTGGTACGTACACATCCCTTGCATCCAGATCATACATAAGATGGAAATTATACATAAGATCCACGCTAACAGCTGCACAGGCGGAGTCAGAAACTATGTCAAGGTACGCCGTCAGCATCAGGCTTAGCTTTGAGATTAGATGCATGTGATGACTAACACTCCGCGTAGACATTCCCCGACTCTTTTGTATCTTTTTTCAATGTCTTTGAGACTGCTGCCAGCATTCTCGGGCTTGGAAAGAAGGGCAAGGAGTTTGACATTCTGAAGGACTTCAAGGGTGTTGTAAAGCCCGGTGAAATGGTCCTGGTCCTTGGAAAGCCAGGCAGTGGTTGCACTACCTTCCTCAAAGTTATCAGCAACCAACGATACGGATACACAAAGATCGATGGAAACGTTCAGTACGGCCCCTTTGACGCAGACTTTTTCGAGAAGAGGTATCGAGGCGAGGCTGTGTACTGCGAAGAGGACGAAAACCACCACCCCACCCTTACCGTTGGTCAGACCCTCGACTTTGCCCTGGAGACCAAAGTGCCTGGAAAGCGACCTGCGGGCCTTTCACGAAAAGAGTTCAAGGAAAAGGTCATCAGCATGATGTTGAAGATGTTCAACATCGAGCACACTCGAAACACCATTGTCGGCAATCCGTTTGTTCGTGGTGTCAGTGGTGGAGAGAGGAAACGTGTTTCCATCGCCGAGACCATGATTACGGGTGCCTCCTTGATGAGCTGGGACAACAGCACAAGAGGACTGGATGCTTCCACAGCCGTCGACTACGCACGTTCACTCAGGGTTCTGACTAACATCTACAAGACGACGACATTTGTGTCTTTGTACCAAGCCTCGGAAAACATCTACAAGGTCTTTGACAAGGTCCTGGTTATTGATAGCGGACGTCAGGTGTACTTTGGACCTGCCCAGGAAGCCCGTGCTTACTTTGAAGGCCTGGGATTCTTGGAGAAGCCCCGTCAGACCACCCCCGATTACCTTACTGGTTGTACCGACATATTCGAGCGTGAATTCAAGCCTGGTATGAGCGAGAAGGACGTCCCATCCACCCCTGACGCTCTCGCCGAGGCCTACAAGAAGTCCGAGGTCGCAGCCAGACTTGACAATGAGATGACTGCCTACAAAGCTCAGATGGTCGAAGAGAAGCATGTCTACGATGAGTTCCAAATGGCTGTCAAGGAAAGCAAGAGGCACGCCCCTCAAAAGTCGGTTTACTCTATTCCCTTCTACCTCCAAGTCTGGGCTCTGGCTCAGCGTCAGTTCCTGCTCAAGTGGCAGGACAAGTTTAGCTTGGTCGTCTCTTGGATCACATCCCTGGCAATTGCTATTATCATCGGTACCGTCTGGCTGGATCTTCCAAAAACCTCTGCTGGCGCCTTCACACGTGGAGGTGTTCTCTTCATTGCTCTACTCTTCAACGCTTTCCAGGCATTCTCGGAATTAGCTTCTACCATGATGGGTCGGCCTATTATCAACAAACATCGCGCCTTTACCTTCCATCGCCCGTCGGCTCTTTGGATAGCTCAAATCGGTGTTGATCTACTCTTTGCATCGGTGCAGATTCTCGTCTTTTCCATCATCGTCTATTTCATGACGAACCTGGTCAGAGACGCTGCAGCTTTCTTCATCTTTGTCCTTATGATCATTACTGGATACCTAGCCATGACCCTGTTTTTCCGAACGGTCGGCTGTCTCTGCCCTGATTTCGATGTCGCTATTCGTCTAGCCGCTACTATCATCACGCTGTTCGTCTTGACATCTGGTTACCTTATTCAATGGGACTCCGAGCAGAAGTGGCTTCGCTGGATCTTTTACATCAATGCCCTGGGTCTTGGTTTTGCAGCATTGATGATGAACGAGTTCAAACGATTGGATCTCACTTGCACGGGAGCTTCTCTTATTCCCTTTGGACCTGGCTACAACGACCTCAATTCCCAAGTTTGCACTCTGCCTGGCAGCAAGGCGGGAAACCCAATTGTTTCCGGTACCGATTATATCAAGACCTCCTTTTCATGGCATCCATCTGATCTCTGGATGAACTTTGGCATCATGGTTGCGCTCATCATTGGTTTCCTTCTCGCAAACGCTTTCCTTGGAGAGTTTGTCAAGTGGGGCGCAGGTGGCCGTACAGTGACCTTTTTCGTCAAAGAGGACAAGGAACTCAAGGAGCTCAATGCTCAACTACAGGAGAAACGTAACAGGCGCAACCGCGGAGAGGCCAGCAGTGACGAGGGCTCAGACCTCAAAGTCGCATCCAAGGCAGTCCTCACATGGGAAGACCTTTGCTACGATGTCCCCGTTCCTGGTGGAGAGCTACGTCTGCTGAAGAACATTTACGGATACGTCAAGCCCGGCCAATTGACAGCTCTTATGGGTGCTTCTGGTGCTGGTAAGACGACACTTCTCGATGTGCTTGCTAACCGCAAGAACATTGGTGTCATCAGTGGTGATAAGCTTGTCGATGGTAAACCACCTGGTATCGCCTTCCAACGTGGAACTGCCTACGCCGAACAACTCGATGTCCACGAACCCACTACGACCGTACGTGAAGCGCTCCGCTTCTCCGCCGATTTGCGTCAGCCGTTCGAGACGCCTCAAGCCGAGAAGTACGCATACGTTGAGGAGGTTATCGCTTTGCTGGAGATGGAAGATATCGCTGATGCCATTATCGGAGAACCCGAAAGTGGTTTGGCAGTTGAACAGCGCAAGCGTGTCACCATTGGTGTTGAGCTTGCCGCCAAGCCCGAGCTACTTCTCTTCCTGGACGAGCCTACCTCTGGTCTCGACTCTCAGAGCGCTTTCAACATTGTCCGTTTCCTCCGTAAACTGGCTGCTGCCGGTCAAGCTATCCTGTGCACCATCCACCAGCCGAACTCTGCTCTTTTCGAGAACTTTGACCGCCTCCTGCTCCTCCAGCGCGGTGGCACATGCGTATACTTTGGCGACATTGGTAAAGATGCTCATGTTCTTCTCGACTACTTCCGCCGCCACGGTGCCAACTGCCCTTCTGATGCCAACCCAGCAGAATGGATGCTCGACGCTGTAGGCGCTGGTTCTGCTCCCCGTATTGGTGACCGCGACTGGGCAGACGTCTGGACTGACTCTGAAGAGTTCGCCGAGGTCAAGCGACACATTACCCAGCTCAAAGAGGAACGCATTGCTGCCGTCGGTAGCGCTGAGCCAGTTGAACAGAAGGAGTTTGCCACGCCAATGTCGTACCAGATCAAGCAAGTTGTCAGACGCCAGAACCTCGCCTTCTGGCGCACTCCCAACTACGGCTTCACCCGTCTGTTCAACCACGTCATCATTGCTCTGCTCACAGGTCTCATGTACCTCAACCTCGACAACTCTCGAACATCTTTGCAGTACCGTGTCTTCATCATCTTCCAGGTTACCGTCCTTCCAGCTCTTATCCTCGCTCAGGTTGAGCCAAAGTATGCTATTCAGCGTACCATCTCTTTCCGCGAGCAAATGTCCAAGGCTTACAAGACGTTCCCCTTTGCACTCTCCATGGTCATTGCCGAGATGCCGTACAGTATCTTGTGCGCTGTTGCATTCTTCCTCCCGCTATACTACATCCCCGGCCTCAACTCGGAGTCTTCGCGTGCAGGATATCAATTCTTTATCGTCCTGATCACCGAAATCTTCTCCGTTACATTGGGCCAGGCGGTCGCTGCCTTGACACCTACTCCCTTCATCGCTTCCTACTGCAACCCCTTCATCATTGTAAGTTGGCTCCGTATCAATGTTATGAACCACTGGCTAATTCCAACTTTAGATTATCTTCGCGCTCTTCTGCGGTGTCACGATCCCCAAGCCCTCCATCCCCAAGTTCTGGCGTGTCTGGCTTTACGAGCTTAACCCATTCACACGCTTGATCGGTGGTATGGTCGTTACGGAACTTCACGGTCAAAGCGTCCAGTGTACCCCCGCCGAATACAACAAGTTCCAATCTCCCCAAGGTCAGGACTGCGGGTCATACATGAGCGACTTCTTCTCCAGCGGTGGAGCGGGATACATTCGCGACAACCTGACCAATGCGTGCGAGTACTGCGCTTACAAGGTCGGCGATGAATTCTACACTCCTCTTGGATACGATTTCAGCAACCGATGGAGGGACCTTGGTATATTCGTCGCCTTCATCGTCAGTAACCTGGCCATTCTCTTCATTGCGGCCAAGTACCTCAACTTCAATCGACGATAAACGCAATACGCTGAAGGACATTATGTGTATGGAATTTCACGAGTTTCAGGATACGTTAGTGAACATGAGAGGTTGGCATGACTTGAATGTGAGGATTCGCCGTGCTAGCATGGTACATCACATGGGCTTGCACTCATAGCTACAGCGATGTTGTCTCTGCATCTTGACACATCGCCATTTCTGTTTTTCTGCATTGGAGGATCATTTAGCTGACCAAAAGCACTGTCGTTGCGTGGTATAGAGTGTCACATTTAGGGCAACACATTTCCTCATTGGGTGGCGTCTTTTTGTTTTTACCAGTCAGCTCCATTGTTTGCTGTACTTAGGTCACATATATACATGTAATAGTTTCTGAGATATAATCACGTTGTCCCATGTTTGAATTTATCTTGATTGAAGTGACTGAAATTCCCGTTGGATAATAATCAAGGCTGGGTAGCTTTATTGAACTGTCCGAGTTGCTCGTTTGCCTTGAACGTTTGCTTCCACACACGCTGCTTCCAGAACGAGCGCGACTTTCCAAGACAGGAACATGGCTCCTGGTGTGAACAAAGAACTTGTTTCTTTTATTTTCCCAGCTTCTTTGCGATACTTGTGCACCTACTATACTACTATTATCCACTGTCGTTCCTAAAACGCCACGGATCGACACAACGCCTTTGAAAGCATCCTTTCGCTTTGTACCATACATGTTCATAACATTGCTAGACTCGGAGAAACAATCATGTCGCCCATGTCCCCAGATATGCTAGCACATCACCGCAACCAAAACTCATTACCGCATTTTTCATCTTCTGGAACTTCTACCCGGCCGATGCAAACAAACACTGAGCAACCCAAAGAAACGACCGCACCCCCAAGTCCAACCCACTCCCGCACATCACATACCACGGATCTAAATCACTTCCCCATACCCCAAATCCAAGGTGTAGTCCCTGGCTTCCGCCACACTCACACCTCACATTCACTCCCCTTCTCCACCCCCACAACCCGCGATATCCTCCAAACACTCAACACAACAAGCTCACCACCCACACCAGATCCAACAACACAATCATCCTACCCCCGCCCTTCCCCTCCAAACTTCCTCTACCCCTTCGCCATTGTCCCATACAAAACCCTCCCTTCCACCTCTTGCACTCGCTGCCCAGAAAACGCCATGGCAGACTCACCGGACATGTCCCTCGCAACCACACTGCCCTTGGGTCTCAAACTGCTCTTTTTGGGTACGCTGTGCGCCGCGGCGCTGGGACTCGCATGGACAGTGGTAGTATGCTGTATTGTGCAGCACAGCGAAGCGGCGCCTAGTGACGAAGAAGCATGGCAGAGCGAAGCGAAGCGTAGCGACAGCATTCAAACGCAACATGGCAGCAAAGAAGAGAGCAAAGATACAAGAGACGTCGCAAACCCTTTTGCCGACCCCACAAACACGCATCAAACTACAGACAAGAGTGCAGCGCTGAGTTCGGGTATCGACGTACCTCCTACACCGCGGTATCGCAGGCGGAACAACGCAGTACCGGGGTCGCCGCAGAATCCTTTTTTGGATCCACCCAGTGAGGGGGAGGGTGTGCGTGTGGAGAGGACGGAGGGGGAGTGGACGAGGGCCCGAGCGATGTTTTTTGCGGAGATGGAGGCTGTGGAGAGTGAGATGAGGGAGTTGTCTCGTGGGCGGGTGGTTGATGGGGAGGTACCGGCGCGGGAGAAGAGGAACGGACGGAGTGGTGTTATGAAGGTTGTGGAAAGGGGGGTTGAGATGGTGGATGGGGGTGTGGATGATGTGGTTGTTGCAATGGCGAGGTGGACGGATGATAAGTGAAAGATGGAAGTTGGGAATGGTGAAATTCGGACATATTAAGGGGAGCAACGATGACAGGGAAGAATTAACCGAGTTGTTGATTTCTGTACCAAGCTACGTATGTGAGACAGTGGTAAAGATATCACTGAGTCTTGAGAGGAGAAAAATGGTATCATAGAAGACGTTGCTTAAACGCCCTTTTTACGTCTCCCCATTGAAAAGATTAAGAGATAAAAACGCCAAAAATGCTCTCACCGTTCAAGACGAAGAGAAAATCAACGTGATTTAAATGTTTCAAATGTCAAAATCTTTGCTCAGTAGCTCCTGTGCTTCCAGGTCCATCTTCTTGCTAATGAGACGCCCGGCTACCAGATCACCGACTTTGTCTACCAGCTTTTCTCGCACATCTTCGAGATTGGATGCTGTGTATGTTCCCTCTCTCTTTGCCTTTTCGGCTCGTTCTCTGACGGCCTTTGGAACGAGAGCAGGGAAGGAACCGACGAGTACTTCAAGCAGTATCTCCGCATCATGGCGCGTGCTCTCATCGGCCAGCTTCTTGGCAAGGAAATCCTCGCTGTACATTTTTATGTTGGGTAGAATCAATCCTCGGAGTGCATCAGAAGGACCAAGGACGAGAAGAAGAGCTTGTAGAGCGCCAAAATGCGCACCCACTGTTTTGTCAGGGTCCATGAATTGCTTTAGACACGTGCGGGCGATCCGGGATTTCAGTCCCTGGTTTGATGACGAGTACTTTCTGCAAATATTCCGGAGAAGGTGTGCTGCAAGTGTTCGCAAGTAAAAGGCATCAGAAGCAGCGCGGCTGTAGTCGGGTACCGCCCCGCCCAGAGTCTCGGAAGAGGCATTGGAGGGCGCGGGTTGGTTTGCTGGTCCTAGCTTTCCGCCAATGCAGCAAGTCAGGATAGGTGGGACCATGTAGGCAACATAAGGGTCGAGGTAGATGGCCTGGTTGTTTAACAAGGCCTCGGAAGCGCGCATCATTTGGCTGAGTATGAACAAGTTCTTCATATTGTGTGTAACCTTCTCGGCTATGAAGCTCAAAAGATATGTTGTCAGCTGATGGATACCGGGCTCTGTCGAGATTGCAGCCAGGGCTGCATTCTGCCATTCAATATTTGTCTCATCGACAAGAGCGCCCGACAGTTTGTTGAACAGCTCTTGGGATTCCTTGGAGAGCACATGCTTGACGAGAGGCTTGACGTTGACATTGTCGAGCCCGTTGGCAGCAGCCAGATGTGGGTTTGCGTTAGGGCCTTTGGGTAACAAGTCGGCAGTGTTGGTATTGGGATTCTGGGGTATAGAGGGCTGGACTCCCTCTACGGCAAGCCAGTGGGCTGGGCAGAGTTAGAAAATTGGGGACAGGGCAAGTGACGGGGCATGTAGCTTACCTGTGAAGGTGATTTCCCGTGGCACCTTGGGCAGGGGAGCGTTGATGAGCTTTTCGAAATCGACCTCCTCATCCTCGACATAGTACAAGGGCTGGCCAGGTCCCAGTGAAGCCTCGCCGAAGCGCAGCGGCCGGGTAGATTCGTAGCCATAGAGAGGCTCCACATTGAGCACCTTGAGGGCATTGGATATGTCCTGTGTGCTCAGTGTTGTCCGCTTCCCGTGTCGCATAAACTTGAGCGCTTCCTCCAGGACCTGGGCCAGACGAAAGTCGACGTCACGGGCTAGCTCTTCGACGACGTTGTCGGCGAGTGAGGCAATGCCTACTGATTCGGCCACGTCTCGCACATTGTCGGGGTTCCAGACTGAGGACATGATGGCAGAGTGTCGTGCGAAGCGCGGAGGGAATCAAGCGGAACGCAGGGAGGAAGCCGATGGAAGGGCGGAGAGGGTATCACCAGGCGGGTGACGCAGCGGCGGAATTTGTGATTGTTAGCCCTACGACCCAGTGAAGCACATGCCGGACGCGCGCATGCGCAGGTAGTGGGAAGATGTCGCCGCGGAGATTGCAAGCTGTGTATCCCCGCGTTTCATATACGACGGCGCGGTGATGATGGTCGTAGTCGTAGTCGTGGCGCTACTGTGGCTACTGCGGAGAGAGGTGAATTGAGCCGGCCCAGGCTTGGATTGGCTGCAAGGCGGGTCTGCGCGCGCAGAGGGAAGTCGCGATGGGTGACGGTCCTCGCGTCAGTCTTGGCGCGCCACTTGGTCGTTACTTACGCCGGCCATGGTCTCCCTCACCACTATTACACTACACACGCCCACCCTCCCCACAACCGTCGAACTTACACACACACCTTCACACACATCCCCGCCCACATTCACACCGATGGATGTAGTCGCTGCGTATGCACGCATCCACGTCAACAAGTGTGTAGGCGTGTGTAGAGCAACACCGCCCTTGGATTGGCCCGCTGTTTGCTTCACTTGAAAAATAGACAAACATTGCCGCTTCACCACGTGCTAGCCTCTGCCGACTCTTGCACCAGCGGCGCCAGAAATGCGCGCCGATGACGGCCCATGTTGCCGTCCTTCTGGGGGGCCGCTTTTCCCGCTGATAATCCCATCCAAACAGGACATCTCGCGTATCGACGGGGTCCTGGTCTTGTGTAGACCGCCATTTGCAAATGCTTCCGGGGAGGGAAAGCAAAGCTTATCCAGCAGTGCCATCGACTGGCTGTCACGGCTGCGGTCCGTCTTCCCCGCCGCCTCGTAGTCAAGAAGCAGTGCCTATCCCTGCTTACCGTTGTGCCACAATTGCTCAACTGTAGCTCGCCGCCACGTTGTTTCCCTCCCTTCCTCAGGTTCAGTATCCGGCCCGTAACCCAGGCCTCTGCAACAGGCCAACATCTTGATTTGCTCTTCGTGCTCCTGTTCTACCAAACTGCCTCAGCCTCAGCTTCACCCGCTGCTTCGGACTTGGTGCTGCCTGACGCCACCCGTCTGTCCCGCCCGGCCCGCTGTGACTCTGGTTGTCTTTTCCGTGGCGGTTTGGATACGCCAGCTCGACAGACTCCCGTGTAAGCCACCAAACAGTGCCTAGAGGTTTTGGATTGGGAGCGTAACAAAACCGCGCCTCAGACTATTTAACCTCGAGACTACTTTAGCGTTTTGTCCCGCACAACACACTTCCCCTTCTACTCATCCCGACCTTTATCGAAACGTAATTTTAAACAGTCTGTCCTGAACCTCAAACATCGCATCTATCCACTCCACCGTCAATTCCATTCATTCCACCATGGTCATGTTGAATCAATTTTTGACGGGCACAACATCTGATTCCATCAACACGCGCTCTTCCTACCACGGATCGAGTTTGGCTGTCACTATGCCACCGCAAGACCGCTCGAGAGATGACCCTCCATCTCCTCCCCCTCAACCTCCGCCTAGCCCAGCTCACTGGAGTCGTCTCGTCTCTGTGAGTAGTATTGAAAGAAACATTGTATCCAGCTAATACTCTACCAAGATTGATACACTGGCCCCACTTGACATCTAAGTTCAGGCTTAGTAATGCCAGGTCGGTAAGCAGCCACTCTTTATCCAGTCCAACTCTTTCTGACATTTCTCCAAAAGTAAACTGCGATTTCTCACATCACCATTTTCCATCGATAATAATCCGCACCACCTTTCGGTCGGCTTATCGTACTCCGTGCCTCAGACCTTCATCGCCACGCCGAATTTTGTCAAGTATCCTGTACGAGTAACATGGGTAGTGTAGGTTGATTCAGATATGGATTTTGGCAGTCTTGGGCCTTTCTTTGTTTCGCTTATCTAGGGTGTGAATTGGGTGTTGGGGCGTTCGGTTAAATGAATAGCTGGGTGTATTCCTACACAGCTCAAGTACGCGGATATGCCCGTTCTGTTTTGTAACGTACCGCCAAGCGGCGCCTTTCTCCCCAAATACAAACATTGTCTACATGATATTCCTTGTGTTCTGGTATATCTAGACACTTATTTCCCTCCTCTGCTGGAATAGATACAATGGCCAATGGGCTAACAAACCCCTGTTAGTGGCAGCAGCGGATGAGCTAGTCTAGCAAAACTACAGGCTCCACTTCGCGAGCCCGGGCATCTGATTAATATTCCGGTCAGAACATTACACAGTAGGACGACTAAGCCTGATTGCCATGCCCAAGTATTATCCCCTGGTGCTACACTCCACCTCGCTTACTGATTAGCGCGCACTAGTCGCGTGGTCTTTTCGGCTTTTCCAAATTCGAAAACCCAGACAGTGCGGCTCCACCCCAGTTCACTGTACACCCGGTCAGATATACGTGCAATCCTTACTAGACAAGCATTCTATCTCTCCTTTATTCTCTTACGCAATCTGATTTATACTGCAAACACACAAAAACCACGTCGTCTCCCGGGTTTTGCTACGAGAGATATCTAGGTCTTGGCACGGGATCGACAAGTCCCCACTATCCGCCACCAGCGGTTACCCCACGGCATCTGCCACTTGGTAGCTCCTTTAAAAGAACACTCTTTCCTCACCTTACCTTCATTATTGGCCTTTTACCTCCGAACCGCACCGGAATCCTCCAATCACGTGCGGACTCATCATGGCCGCCAATGAGCAGGATACCACGGAGCAGATTCTCCAATGGTACTCCAATCTCTACAGTCGCCGGGTCGACCTGGTAGGCGACTTCGCAGGGAGCGAGAGATTTCTCGTACACGGCGAATCACTCCTACTCCAGTGTTTTAGCGACCCACATCTCGACTTCGACCCAGGCTACCAATTACTACACGCCTCGTACACTGTTGAGAAATATCTGCAGGGCCTCCTGTCCCGCAGCTGCAACTTCCACATCGCGTTCTTTAACGAGCATCAAGAATTCTGTGTGCCTCAAGATGCCTCTCCCGCCGTTAGCGAGAAGTATCTGCTTGCACGAGCAGCCATCATTCGTCACCTCAGGGTCAATCTGCCAGACGCTGTCCCAGAGACTGAAGTCCACACTTTCCCTTCAGTTTCCTCAGTCGAGTTTTCAGAATACCTACGTGCTACCGATATCTACTTTGTGCTCTGTCACGATGGAGCTTCTTTCACAGACATCCGCAAGAGGATGTTGCGACACAAGGACCTCGGCTCTCTCAAGGATGAGGACCCAAGTGTAAAGGGCCGTCATCAAAGCTACAAGTCATCATTTCGCACTTTTATCTATAGCATGATGCAGCGCGGCTACAGCGCTGCACTCGTGAATGGGCTTGAGTGGCAGGACACAAAGGTGGTCACAACAGTCTTGGAGCACGCACGTTCCTTGACCCTAGACGTCTCATCAGCAGTAAGTATATACAAGGCATGAATACTGTTATGTCGCGTTCTGCGCTCTTCATTGATAAGGTGCTGACACAAATCATAGAATCATCATCCTGAGAGGAATGTCACTGACATTGTCGACCTTTCCCACATGCGTGGATTCTTACAAACAATCAGGGAATCATGTGATCAGCTTCTGACTGAGCGTGAGTATCTGACAGTGCTTGTCGCTTCGAAGCTTTCAGCCTCAAACGCGAATCTGTCATCTATTCTACTACGACAGGCAGCAGCCCTGTCAGAGCTGGCTTTGTCGGAGCGCATATTGAATCATCAAGAAATTCCTGAGGAGGTCAACAACTTCATTCTAGAGTTTTGTCATGAAGCGCGCAGGTTCATCAATAGTCCGGCATGGGCAGAAGCTTTCGCCGGTCATCCAGATTGTGACTTAGCTGACCTTATTGACGGGCGATTGCTCGCTTCTTATGCCTGCAAGGCTTCGCCAAAGCCCAATGAGCACTTTGAGGTCCTTCTCAAAGCCACAAAAGCTCTTAACAATCTTGATATCCCACTGCAACCAAGCACGTCTCCTGCTGCAGAAGGCTCACCCGAGACCAGCAGTGATGACGAAAGCTTCACATACAAGGTTCTTCCCTTCTCGAACGACGTCTTCGACCCTCACCTAGCCCCAATTCACCTTGACGTAGCTCGGTCGAGTGGAAAACCAGACCCGACATCGGCTACCATCTTTCGTGAAGTCACACATTGGCACAGCCAAAAGTCTTTGAATCAAAAGGCGAAAGTGGTCGTAGAAAAAGACCCAAAGATTGCGAAGAAAGCACTTCGCCGGAATCAATTTTTCATGGCTGAGATGACTTCGTACGCTGCCAGTCTGACGAATGCTGTTGGTAAAGTTCTAGACCCAGAGACAATTACCCTCGGCGACAAGACAAAGCCTGCGCCATCGAACACGGAAAACAAAAGACCAAAACAAGTGCAGAGACAAAGCACCAAGAACATCAATGCCTCAAAACAAGCCATGCTTGACAGTATTGCAGCAAGCTCTAAGCGCAAAGATGAAGAGAATGCAAAGCAATGGTATCAGGCTTGGACGGTTTCTTGCGCAGGATTCGAAAAGCAGGTTGACCTGGCGTCGCGGTACAACAAAGCCAGACAATATTTGGCGGACCGCAGCGAGGCTCAGCGTCAGGTTATTGGTGCAGATGTGCGCATCTACATGCTAAACGTTCTCCTAGAGATGTGGGTGCGTTACTGCCGTGACAACGCGAAGGATAAGGGTCTGTATGTTGCAGCACTCTTATTCGATACTGCACGGACTCTCTGTAATCACGAGACTGTTACCAAGACCATTGCGATATGCCTCAAAGCTACTATCGATCGATTGAAGTTGCCGAAGCTTCAGGTGCCGTCAGCTCAAGGCGATCGGAAGCTGCCCTTTAAATTTGTAAGTTGATTGATGCTTGAAGCACATCTTGGATACTTGCGTTGCTTGTATGATCTTGGATGACCTGCAGTGTTTTGCGTATCTTGAATTGCTGATGCTGACTTTTACAGGCACTGGAAGACACGTTAGTGTCCGATCTTGCTTTGACGCTGTCCCCAGAAGAGTTTCAGCTTCTCCATTGTGGGCCTTACTTTGATAGGACGATCGACTCTGCTCCAGACTCTCGTGTACCGTTCGAGCCAGACGCGTGGCAACGACGGGTACTAGATGAGATTGATGCTCGGCGAAGCTTGCTTGTCATTGCGCCAACTTCGGCTGGTAAAACCTTCATATCATTTTACGCCATGAAGCAAGTCTTGGAAGCCAACAATGAGGATGTTCTGGTTTATGTTGCACCAACGAAAGCACTTGTCAACCAGATCGCTGCCGAAATTCAAGCTCGATTTTCGAAGAATTACAAGTACAGTCAATCTGTATGGGGTATTCACACAAGAGATTACCGTATCAACAATCCCACGGGATGCCAGATTCTGGTAACAGTACCCCACATTTTGCAAATTATGCTGTTGGCGCCCAGCAACGCCAGGGGTTGGTCTGAAAGAGTGAAATGGATTATATTTGATGAAGTCCACTGTATTGGACAAGCCGAAGATGGACTGGTTTGGGAGCAATTGCTACTCATGGCTCCTTGCCCTATCATCGCTCTTTCTGCGACAATTGGCAATGCAGAATCTTTCAACGACTGGCTCTCAGCTAGTCAAAAGGCTGCCGGCAATGAGCTTGTGATGGTACAACATCCGCACAGATATTCTGATCTTCGCAAGTTTGTCTATACGCCGCCTCCAAAGCGTGACCCAGCGAGCTACTTGCCTCTTCCGGCTAACCGGTCATTTGCTCAGCTCGGTCTCGATGAGCATGCGGATTTTGCATTCCTGCATCCTGTTGCCAGCTTGATAAACAGGAGCCGAGGTCTTCCCAGCGATCTATCTCTCGAAGCCCGGGACTGCCTGACTCTGTGGCAGACTATGTGCAAACATCAAACTGATAAGTACCCTGTCGACAAGTCACTCGATCCCTCTAAAATTCTCCCTACTATCATCAAGAAGGCAGATATCATCAAGTGGCAAGATGGCCTCAAAAAAATTCTCACTGCTTGGATGGCGGATGAGGCATCGCCTTTCGAGAAGGTGCGCAGTGACCTCAGCAGTTCCATCAACCGTATTCAGGAAGCATCGCCCACCGATGAAGTTAAGGAAGACAGTACTGACAACAACGGAGAAGTGGACGAGCTAGGAATGGAAATCAACCATGACATTTCCAGCATACTACCACTGCTAGCCGATCTGCAGCAACAAGATGCACTCCCGGGTATCATCTTCAACTATGACCGTGCGATTTGCGAGAAGATGTGCCGAACACTCATGAAGCAACTTGTAGATGCCGAAATTGCCTGGAAAGAGACAAGCCCCAAGTGGAAAATCAAGCTGCAACAATGGGAAGACTGGAAGAAAGAGGTGCAGAGACGAGAGAAGCAGGGTCTCCGTGGAGATGCTTCCAAGGGCATGACCAAGCAAGATCAAATGAAGGAGGCGGCTAGCGTTGAAGTTAGCGCTTTTGCCTCATTTGATCCGAACAAACCTCTTGATGGATTTCACTTTGCCGATCATAAGAAGTTGTCCCAGGAGGAGTTTGCTGTACACGCAAAGGAGCTGCGTTACCGTGGTGTAGAAGAGTGGCTGATTGATGGCCTCATGCGTGGAATTGGAGTCCACCACGCTGGTATGAACCGAAAGTACCGGTACTGTGTCGAAATGCTTTTCCGCAAGGGCTATCTGCGGGTGGTCATCGCCACTGGTACTTTGGCCTTAGGTATTAACATGCCGTGTAAGACTGTGGTCTTCTCAGGTGACTCTGTCTTCTTGACAGCTCTCAACTTCCGCCAGGCAGCCGGTCGTGCCGGTCGTCGTGGTTTCGACATGCTCGGAAACGTCGTCTTCCATGGCGTGGCACTCAGCAAGATTCACAAGCTCATCAGCTCCCGACTCCCTGACCTCAATGGCCACTTCCCTATAACCACTACTTTGGTTTTGCGGTTGTTCACTTTGCTGCACTCGTCAGGGAATGCGCCTTTTGCTGTCCGTTGTGTCAACGCTCTGCTGTCACAACCGCGATTGTACCTGGGCGGCGAGGATGCGAAGATGACAGTGCTCCACCATTTGCGATTCTCTATCGAGTATCTCCGCAGGCAGTATCTTCTTGATGCACAGGGTACCCCCCTCAACTTTGCGGGCGCTGTCTCACATCTCTATTTTACGGAGAACTCATCATTTGCATTCCATGCGCTACTGAAAGACGGATACTTTCATGAGCTGTGCGCCAAGATCGACACAAACAGGGAGCAGGTTCTACGTGAGCTCATGCTCACAATGTCGCACTTATTTGGTCGAAGGTATTGTCGACAGGCAGATGAAGAGTACGTCCAGGAAGTGGTCAAGAAGAGCCCGTCAATTGTGTTCCTACCGGCAATGCCAGAGACGGCCACCAACGTCTTGCGCCGTCACAACAAGACTACGCTCGATATATTCACTGCTTATGTGCGTACATTCGTCGACCAGCATGTACAACACCCAGACAACACTCTGCCCTTGACCGAAGTCACCGCCGGCAGCAAGACCCCAAGTTCTGGTGTGACCCAGCCCCAAAACATCAAGGCTCGCTCAACCTTTGTTGCCTTGTCTGGCCACGACGACAAATTCGAATCTCTGCACGACCTCTGCTCCACCAGCCGTTCTGGCGTCTTCCTTGAAGAAGCCGTCGTTCCCCACGTCGGTCTCTACCCGGAAGACTCTGAACTCCCTCTAAACGCCTACCTCTACGACTTCTTCCAACACGGCGACGTCGAAGCCCTGATCAAAGCCAACAAGATCCGACGCGGTGACGTCTGGTTTGTCCTCAACGACCTCAGCATGACCCTCGCCACCATCACCACCAGTCTCTCCAGCTTCCTGGGTCTCGCCACCGAATCCGACCTCGACTTCATCGACGTCCGCGGCGGCGGTGACGACGAAGAGGAAAACCGCGAAGACAAAATGCTACCCAGTGATACGGCCACGGAAGCCAGTGCCACCACTGCTGGCTCCTCGAACAAGGGCGCGTTCAAGCAGGAAGTTACTATCCAGCTGAAGAAGAAGGCCAAGAAGAAGGTCGAGGAGAGCTGGGAGGATGAGATGGGGAGTGAAGAGGAGGAGTCTGAGGTTGAGGAGAGTTGGGATGCTGAGGAGGATGAGGACAAGGAACCCCCTGCGTGGGAGGAAGGAGAGGGCTTGCTGAATGTGCTCAAGGCGTTTAAGGCATTGAAAGAGGAGTTTGATATGAAGTTTAGGGCTATGTGGGCTTAGTTGAGGCGGAGGTTGAAGTGGTGGTGGGTTGGGATGGAAGTGGGAAAGAGGAGAGAGGAAAGAGGAGAAAAGGGGAAAAGTTGGAACATTTCATTGTGGCTTTCTACGAAATCAAGACTGTACCTAGATGATGATAACGAAGAGAAAAAAAAAGATATATGACATAGATGATGAAATGAAAAGAAAATGTAGAAAATGCGGCTAGATATTGGTCGGATGTGAGCAAAGTATGGTTGAAAGTCTCTCTCTCCCTTTTTGCTTAAAATGACCACCACCAGACCAAACATGCACACATGTATCTGGCAGCTGTCACACTAGGTTTGCCGCGATCTATACCAAGGTGCGAAGCACAATGAAACATAGCAGACCAGGCAGTCACAATAAACACTCATTGTAACGAATTGATAGTGAAGCATCTAGTACGAATGGATAAATTTCTTTCAACAACGCCAGCGAAGAGTGGTTGGTGTATCTAGCATACGCTGATCATAACAGCAACGCAGCAAAAAAACGAAAAATTCATAAAAACCTCCATAGAGGGCAGCAAGTTCCAATTGCAGTTGTCATCGCCTTAAAACTCGCCTCCACCTCCACCCAAAGCAGCAGCACCCCAAATACCGACCAAGCCCCAGACACCGACTCTCCAGCCTCTCCAGAGACCATGCACACCCTGACCCTTCCTTGTACGCGGTGGTCGGGAGAATCCCATTGCCTTTGCGCTTGCTGCTTTAGCCGCGCTGGGACCTGAGACTGAGATGCCTTCCTCACGAACAATGAACCATAGGGTACCCAGGACACCCCTGTACTGACCAGGATCAACGATTGTATCGAATCCGTTGTCGTTACTCGGCCTGTCCAGACCGTAAGCTGGGCTCTTTGAGCGACTGGGTGGGGCCTGATATTCTTGTGCGACACGCTGTGCTTCGTGTTCTTGCAGGACGGCGACCTGGCCGCGGCGGAGAACTGTCTCGAGGGGGAGACGGATGAAGAGTTCAGCGGTAGAGGAGAGGAAGGTGCTGAAGGAGTAGGTGGCGGGGGTGAGGATGGGGTCGATGCTTAGTGTTGAGCGGAGGAAGAGAGGGGTGGATGAGGAGACAAGTGTGGGCACGCAGGCGTGCATTATGGTTGCGGGGAGGAGGGTGGGGGAGACGGAGAGAGAAGGGAGGAGGGAGAGACATGGGTATATGGAGCGTGGGGAGGATGAGATGGGTGTGATGATCAGGCGTGTTCGCACTAGATCGAGGGGTGCGAGGAGGGTAGCGGCAATGGCTGTTGCAGCAACAGCGACACCGAGGGATGTCAATGGGTTGGGACTGTCGAGCACATCGAGACCCCCAATGCCGCTTCCTGCTGCCCCCACAAGCCCGGGGTCGGGTATGTTCAGCAGGGCTGAGATCAGACTTCTAAACCAGCCCTCAGTCGTCTTGAGCAGGAAGTTGTAGATGAAGGTGCAGTTTGTGCCTTTCCACACTCCCCAAGCTGACTCTTTCTGCCATAATTGCCCTATTACTTCGAGAAGAGAGTCTGCCCGCTTGAGTTCTAGTTTCCTGAGTGACGATGGTGGGGGTTGAGTTGGTGTCCGCGAGGGTGATCGACTATCGAGTCGTCGATGGCGCCTCCGCGGGGACCTCGATGGCGAGTCGTTGGGCGAGTATGGCGAAGTGGGGTTCACGCGCGGTGCTGTTGTGGTGAAGTATCCCGGAGAGTCCTCGTCAGACTCTTCGTCTGAAGGCGGGAACTGCACGGTTATTTAGCCCACATTCACATGTCAGACGGGGGTGTCATTGACAGAGTACCTACATCCTCAAACTTTCCACTGGCAAAGCTCCCTGGCCCTCTCTTGTGGCCCCACTCACTAGCATCCTTGAGCGCGGAAAGCTGTCCCTTGGCCTCGTGGATTTGCAGTATCGTCTTCGCTACCTCGAATGGCTGGGCAAGCAGCACGCTTGTGTAGTTCCACAGCGCATGATCCAGCAGCTTCTTTGCATGGCCGGCTATTGTGGGCGATGTCTCTGGAAAGTACGCGTCATAGTCGAGATCTGAGAGAATGTCGCGTGCCTGGCTGCCCAGACTCGATTTATTGCTGGGGGCAGGCTTGAAAGCGGGCGGGAGTGGTGACGAGACGGTCTGGTTCTGCGGAACCTCTGGAGGCGGGCCAATGGAAGGCGGGATGTAGTACGGTCGGAGGGGGTTTGGGGCATCGCGCGAGGAGGCCATGGTGAAGGCGGGGTATGGGGGAGAGGAAGGGCCTTAGGGTGGTGCCCGCTGTCGGTTTTGTTTTGTGAGTGCTGGTGGTGGATGCATGCGCTTTCAAGAGAGGGACCAGGGTGGGGCGGTCTGTGCTGCCAACATTTCGTCGTCGACGTCTCACAGCATTCGGATTTATCGGCGGCTTCGTTTGTTGCGACTTTTATCCTGGCAAACATTTGCTCTTTTGCGCACTTACCCCCTGACGTCTGCCATCTTCTCAATTGAGCGGCCACATACACCCACAATGGCGGCGAACCGAGCTTGCTGGATGTTGGTCGAGGGACGGATAGCAGGCGCGAGAAGCGCCTTGTCGACTCCACTGACATCGACCAGCCATTGGGCGACCATGACATGCCAGAGAGGGATGCACACGCAGAGGGCGGCCACGTCTCAACCACGGCAATTCAAAGTAGCCACTCCAACAAGTCCCTCGTGGCTACGAAACAGCCGACAATTCTCCGCCAGCCATGCACCCCGCCACGGTCACCTAGACCCTCCTAGGCCTGGGGAAGAGTGCGTCTTCACTGTCTACTCTTGACTCATAGATCCAGTCGCTAACAATACTAGACGAAAGGTTACATTCATAGACAAGGATGGCCACTCCTCGACCTTTGAAGTCGCCGACGGCGACAATCTCCTTGACGTTGCCCAAGCAAACGACATAGAAATGGAGGGCGCCTGCGGAGGCTCATGCGCCTGCTCGACCTGCCACGTTATTGTCGAAGACGAGGCCTACTACGAAAAGATGGAAGAGCCCGACGATGACGAAAACGATATGCTCGACTTGGCTTTTGGCCTCACTGAGACGAGCAGACTGGGCTGCCAGGTCAAGATGAGCAAGGAGCTGGATGGGCTGGTAGTACGGTTGCCGAGCATGACGAGGAACTTGCAGGCAAGCGATTTCGAGAGCAAATAAGTCCTCACAACATGTCCAATATAGGCCCATTTGATCGAGGCGTGGAGTGGGATCTAATAGGGGATGATTTGATGGTCCCAGCAGAAGTGCCAGATACGACGCTGGGTGGCATCTTTTCGGTTCTTCGTACGTACGCAACATTTGGTACAAAGCATGTATAACACAAACACTCAGCTTGCATATGCACTGGCGTAGAGGACGACTCGGAAAACGCTTGTATAGTAAATGGTATCATGAACATTCTAAACAACTCCTTGTCATGCTTTTATGCTTCAGCGATCTGCTCCTTCTTCTGCCCTCCAGTGAGCATGTCGAGGAAACCTTGCTTGCTCATCTCCTTAACCTTCTCCTCCCTCTTGTCCATACCGACTACCATGCCCGCCTTGCTTTCTCTCTCGGCCTGCTCTCCCTTGACTTGAGCCGCCCTCACTGCGTTGAACAACTTGATCACACCCTTTTGTGCCGTCTTCCTGAGCTCCCTCTCCTTTGTCGATGTCGCTTCTGTGCTGACGCTGGGATCATTCAGTCCCAGAACATCCCTGATACGGCCCTTATCCCGCGCAGCCTTGCGCTCTGCAATGAGTTGACGGCGCACTTTCTCGGTAAGTTTCGAGTCAGCAAGCTCGCGGTTCGCTGTCGCCGCATCTTTCGAACGCGACAAAATAGGCTCTGTGCGTTTTGACGTCGATAATTTCGAGCCCAAGATTCTCGAGATGGAGTTTGCAAAGGCCTCGGGGTCGTTACGCTTGCGGACTTTGCGCGCAGCAGCGGTAGATGTTTCGGAGACGGAAGAAGCTTCTGAGGCGTCGGATTCTGAGTCGGCAATGGAAAACTCGTCGGCTTCAGGTTCAGAGTCGTCTTCGTCGTCATCTTCGATGTCGCTTGGCAATGGGGCTGCGTGATCGACGGGAGCCGTCTTCTTCAGCGCAGACTTTACCGGAGCCTTTGCTTGTATGCTGGCTTTAAACTTGGGCTCAGGCTTCTTCATTGGCGCGGCATCCTCTGCTTCGTCCTCATCGTCGCTGGCTGAAGATTCCTCGGCCGCAGCTGCTTGTTGCGCTGCCTTCTTCGCCTCAAACTTTGCTTGCTTCCTCAACTGCTGCTTGGACAGTTCTGGTTTTCCTGGAAGAGTTGCATTGGCGCCCGAGGGCTGGAATGGCTCGTCTGGCTCTTGGCTGCTTCCTCGTGCTGGGGCATCGCGCGCAGCACCTTCTTCTTCGTCGGACGAACTGTGGTAGTGCTTTTGCTTCTTGACCTTTCTCTTCTCCTTCTTGGGTACCTTTCCTCTGAGCTGGTCCTCGGTCCGTCTCCGCTTCAAAGATGTGTTGACCATTGTGGCTGTGGTTGTGTAGATGTGGATGTCGAAAGGCACTGCGCGGTCGCAGAAAAAAGTTCCAGATGATCGGCGTTAGGGACGCCAAAAGGCCGACGGCAGGGCAAAGCGCGCCCCGCCATGCCTGCATTCCCCACAGAACACCACGAGAACATCACCGACCACCCCCCACGCCTCACACCCCCATCTCTCTAATAATTTCCCTACACAACCGCCGCTATGGTGCTTCAAGATCTTGGGCGGCGTATCAATGCCGCCGTCACAGACCTCACGAGGTCGCCCAATCTCGATGAGAAGGTGCGCACTTGACAAAACAGCAATACCTAACAGGTGGCTAATATGCGGAAGGCTTTCGATTCCATGGTCAAGGAGATCTCTAACGCCCTCGTCGAAGCCGATGTCAATGTCAAACTCGTCATGAACCTGCGACAGTCGATAAAGCGCGCCGTCGACTTCAAACACCTTGCGCCCGGTGTCAACAAGAAGCGCCTCATTCAAAAGGCCGTCTTCGATGAGCTCGTCAAGATGGTTGATCCGCATGCCGAACCTTTTAAGCCGAGAAAGGGAAAGTCAAACGTCATTATGTTTGTTGGTCTCCAGGGTGCGGGTAAAACTACAACATGTACAAAGCTGGCGAGATGGTACCAGGCAAGAGGCTTCAAGGCATGTCTGGTCTGCGCAGATACATTCCGTGCCGGTGCATTCGATCAGTTGAAGCAAAACGCCACAAAAGCAAAGATCCCATACTATGGTAGCCACACCCAGACGGACCCCGTATTAGTGGCGGCTGAAGGTGTAGAGAAGTTCAAGAAAGAGCGCTTTGAAATCATCATCGTGGATACCTCTGGAAGACACAGGCAAGAGAAGGACCTGTTCGATGAGATGGTGCAAATTCAGACCGCTGTTACGCCCGACCAGACGATCATGGTACTGGACGGAACCATTGGTCAGGCTGCTGAATCTCAAGCTCGCGCTTTCAAGGAGGCAGCAGACTTCGGAGCCATTGTTATCACCAAGACCGACGGTGCGGCAGCAGGTGGTGGTGCCATCTCTGCAGTCGCAGCAACACATACTCCCATTGTCTTCCTCGGTAATGGTGAACACATGTTGGATCTCGAACGCTTTGCCCCACAAGCCTTTGTTTCCAAACTGCTGGGAATGGGCGACGTACAAGGTCTTGTCGAGCACGTCCAATCACTGAAGCTCGATCAAAAGGACACAATGAAGCACATTACTCAAGGAATCTTCACCATTAAGGATCTCCGCGACCAGCTCTCCAACATCATGAAGATGGGTCCTCTCTCCAAGATGGCTGGCATGATTCCTGGACTAAGCAGCATGATGGGAGGCATGGACGACGAAGAGGGTGGCGCCAAGCTCAAACGTATGATCTACATCTGCGACAGCATGACAGAAAAGGAACTCGAATCCGACGGCAAGATGTTTGTGGACCAGCCTACTCGCATGACCCGTATAGCCCGTGGCTCAGGCACGTCAGTACGCGAAGTTGAGGAACTGCTCACCCAGCACCGTATGATGGCAGGCATGGCAAAGAAGATGAAGGGCGGCATGGCCAACATGCAAAAGGCACAGGGTGCCATGGGCGGTGGAAATAAGCAGCAACAACTCGCCGCCATGCAGAAGCGCATGCAGAGTATGGGTGGCGCAGGGGGTATGGGCGGAGCGGGAGGCGGTATGCCGGATCTCGGAGCTATGATGAAGATGCTCGGCGGCGGACGAGGAGGCGGAGGAGGCATGCCGGATCTTTCGGCTCTCGGAGGTATGGGCGGCATGGACATGGGTGCTATGATGAAAATGATGGGCGGCATGGGTGGTATGCCTGGAATGGGCGGCGGTGCGGGTGGTGCCGGTCAAGGCAAGGGAAGGAGATAGTAAACCCCCCACTTTTGTTTTATCCAGATGGTATGGATTTTTGAATTTGGATGCATAGCCACGGCGTTGGGGGGTGGGGAGTCTACTATTCATCACATGGGTGCTCGTGTTGATAGATGTTTTGTGTATACGGGATTGGTTTGGTACGTGAGTATATTACGAAAAAACCTGGGATCAATAGAGCAATTTCCTGCTCACTTATGTATATCATATTTCCCAACACTATACCGTTTGTGCTATCTAACCCATCTATTTATGTCTATTTCTCGCCCTCCACTCTATCCTCTCCAAACACAAACCCCAACTCCTCCAACGTCCTAACCTCTTTCCTCTCCTCGCCCCTGGCCCCAAACGCCTGTCTAATCTTCGGAAAATGCTCACGGCACCAGAATTGCCACTCTCTCCAAACCGGGGGCTTCTTTCCTTTCCCGCCATCTTCCAACCCTTCTTTCTCCACCGCCTGAGCCGCCCAAGCACTCATCTCATTGATATACTTCCCGTCCTTCGGGAAATTCAGTAGATGGAAATTTCGACCTGAACCCATCTCTTCTTCCATACTTTGTTCCCAGGCACGCATCGTCGCGAGGGGAGGTAAATCGAGACGACCCGCATACACACGCGCCAGCACCGCAGCCTGGGCTTCTGCAATGGGAAAAGGGATTACACGCTGATTCAGCGCTAGGAACGACAAGCTTGGTCTCGGTGCGTAGAATAAGTGCTGGAATGTATGGTTTACTTTTTCCCCCGTTGTAATTAATTTAGGTTCGACTGATTCCAGAAATGGTAGGCTGTAGAAATATCCTGTGGCGAAGACAATGGCGTCGATGTCGTGGGCTTGTGTTCCGTCTGCGAATTCTACGCCGCGGGTTGACGGTAGGAAACGGGCTATAGGGGGTACCTCGCGGCGTCGCTGGTCAGCTGAGGCGGCGCCGTGGGTTGCGCTGAAGAGGGATTGGGAGCGGGTGGACCAGAGGAGGGGGAGGGAACAGGTAGAGGCGATTTGGGCGCTTATGTCTGCGCCGGAGGCGGAGTTGCCGATTACGATTACTTTCTTGGAGGTAAAGTCTGAGGCGCGGCGGTAGTATTTTGAGTGCGTGATTCGACCTGGGTGTTGGGCTGCCCAGTCTTGGATCCCTGGCATGGATGGGATGGATGGGACGATGAAGTGGCCGTTTGCTACTACTACTGCGTCGTAGATTTCGGAGGTGGACTCGTTGGTTTGGAGATTTTTGGTTGTGACGGTCCATGAGCTGGTGGGGTTGTTGGCATCTACAGGTACGACATCGGTGACTTGAGTGCAGTATTGGACGAGATTTTGGACGTCGGCGGAGTAGTCTTCTATGTACTTTAGAACTGTTTCGTGTGTGGGGAAGAGTTGGCTGTCGGATGGCCAGTCGAGGTCTTGGAAACCCATTAGTCCACGTGGGATGTTGGTTTCGAGTTTCTCGTATATTGGTGATAAGAAAGAGGGAATATGAAATGCTGTGTCGGTGCCATTTGTATCAACATCCCCATTGGCAACGTTCTCTTTAGGCTGCCACTCCGGGTTCTGAAAGTCTTTGTTCGGGTTGGTCTGGGGTATATCGAAGAGGTTTTCGTCTCGCTGCTCGCCAGTATAGATCCATATCCCCCCAGGTCGATTTCTCTGTTCGAACAAGACAACCTTCTCAAATGACTTCTCGGCTCTCAGGTACTTTGCTGCTATCACACCTGAAGGCCCGGCACCTACTACCGCTACTGTCCTTGCTCTAATCGATATCCTATCTCCATTAGAAGCCATGGTGTTGGGCTTGGGTTCTGAGCCGTGGAAATATCGCACAAAGTGCTGCAGAGAGGGGCCAATAGAACGGCAGGCACTGGGCTGGTGTACAGGGTATCCCCGCAACACCCAAGTAAGCATGCGTAGGAACGCCGTCGTAATCAAGACCAGGCGTCGATGTGATGGTAGTGACGAATAGAGGAAGGTTTCGGCGCTGGTCGGAACGATGTCGGAACGATCTGCTGGAGCTGATCACCGCGATGGCACACAAATGGGCTGACCTGATGGTTGGCACTACCCCTCTCAACCCTGGACCTATGCTCAGGCTTAGCTTGGGTTACTTAAGTCGCGGCATTTAGTCAACATCCCAGTTGACAAGATACGTACTTGAGGTTTAGAGCAATGCTTCGCACTTTGTCCCTCGCACGGTTCCCCGCCGCATCGAGAGCTCAACCCCTCCGCAGGTTCTCCATCAAAGCGACAACCATGGCACCACTACGAGCTGGCTTTGTGCCCGGTAGGCTTCAATGAAGAGATGGAGGGCTTTATTACTAACTACTCAGAGCACTTTTGCACCCCACTAGAGTTTGCAAAGAGGCACTATGGCCTCGATGTGGATCTCATTCCCTTTCCTTCTGGCACCGGTCACATGGTCACTGCCATCCAGGCTGGTGAAATTGATCTTGCAGTAGGCCTGACGGAAGGCTGGATCTCAGCGCTAGGCAAAGCACAAACTGCCAAGCAAGACGCAGGCTTCAAAATAGTCGGCACATATGTCGAAACGCCACTATGCTGGGCCATCTCAACTGGGGCGAAGAGGGATGAGCTGAAGGGTATTCAAGACTTGAAAGACAAGAAGGTGGGCGTTTCGAGGATTGGCAGTGGGAGCTATGTGATGAGCTTCGTGCTGGCAGACCAGCAGGGCTGGCTGAATACATCCTCCGATAGCCCTCCGTTTCCTGTGGAGATACTCAACACGTTCAAAAATTTGCGCGATGCCGTCAATAGCGGCACAGCAGACTTCTTTATGTGGGAGCACTTCACCTCGAAGCGCTATTACGATAACGGGGAGATCAAACGCATTGGCGAGATCTACACTCCCTGGTCGTCGTGGAAGATTGTTGCCGCAAACCATCTGCTCGCACCAAAGAGCAGCGGCAAGCCCTCACTCAAGCCAGAGCTGGAGGATGCGCTGGAAAAGTTGAACAAAGGCGTCAAGCACTTTGAGGAAAATACGGAAGAGGCTGTTAAATTTATCATCACGAAGCTCGACTACTCAGAAGAAGACGCTAGGGAATGGCTGAAGACTGTAAAGTTCTCACAGCAGGTAAAGGGCGTCGATAAGGGAGTCGTCGAAAAGACTGTTGGCATCTTGCAGAAAGCTGGTGTGTTGGGCAAAGACGTCGATCAAGCAGACATGATTGCACTCGAGCGTATCGGAAACTGAGTCTTTACTGTGGACTCTTACACGAAACCCAGTGCTTTGAAGTCGCTCATCTGAAACATGAAAGAGCTTGTCGGTTAATCGGGGATGCCCGTCAACTAAAAGTTTGAATCAAGAGCTCACTTTCACCGGGGAAACGCGGTGTTGTATATTTCAGTGACAACCACATTGTTTGCAAGGTTTCGATGTTAGTCAACAGCGACAAACGCGACAAGCTAAGTTCGTTACGATCGCTCAGCTTTGTTTCATGACATAAAGGACAAGAATATATAGATATAATCTTCCTACCTCAGTATTGTTAGCAACAGAGCATTCACCCATTTATTGACTACACATACTGTGGACGTCCCCTGAACCTACCCGGATATGGTCTAGGACCGATAAAAGAAGTAGCAATTACTCCGGACATTGAAATCCAGCTACAAGAATGTCAGAAAACGAGAAAAATCTGAACTTGTCCTTCCTCGACCGACAATCACACATTCGCATATATGGCCGCTACTATATCGTATTCCCTTTCCCTGACACAAAACACGCAGGTGAAGCCATCGATTCACTCCGCATAGGCTTTAAAGAGGTATTAAGGCGATTCCCTTGCCTTGCTGGAACAATCAACATGCCGTTCATCGCCAGTGATTGTCTTCAGGTACTCTTTCCCGATCCTATCGATCTAGAAGCAGAAGCGGCCCGTGTTTTCACTGTAAACTTAGATGAGGCTATCAACACCGATTATCACTACAACACGCTAGAGAGGACGTATTTCTCAGCAGAGAACCTTCCTGCAGAGGTCTTTTGTCCTGCTTTGATTAAAAACCATCCTGGGCTGGACGATGATGACCCATATGCAGAACGAATGAATAGTCTGAAGAGGGGTCCACTCCCTGCTTTTGCTGCCCACGCAACATTTATACCTGGAGGCTTAGTCCTGAGTGTTTGGTTTCACCACGCTATCACTGATGGGGCTGGCAACGCGAGGATCCTAGAGGTATGGAGCGCGGCTGTGAAATCTTTGAATATGTACACTCAAGAGACGAAACCTAGTAAGATCAGCTCAATGCTAATCACAACGGACAATATTACAGATGTCAATCTTGCTAGGGGTGATCTCGCTACCCTTGCACGACGGTTGAACGTTGAGGCTACTAATCCACAGGCTGAAAGGGTACTGCAACATTCAGCAAATCCCATCCACGAGCTACCATACAAAGTCATCACAAAGATGTTTCGCTTCCCAAGTTCAGTCATCACTCACCTCAGCAAAGCCATGTCTCAGCACACAGAGAAACACATATCTCACTTCGCTTCTCTAGCAGGACTCGTCTGGGCCAACATCATCCAAGCCCGCCTCCCAGGATTCATCGCGGTCGGCAACACGAAATCGACCTTAGCAGTCATCATCGACCTCCGAAAACACCTCCCTGGGCCCTTCTCATCCTCTGACTACTTAGGAAACCTAGTAGCCTCCAAGATGCCCACATGGGATCTTTTCCAAAGCGGCAATAGCATCACATGTCAAAACATGTCGGTAGAAACCGACTTCGAAGAGGACATAGAGCACGCCATGCTCCTCCCAACTATAAGCGTCGCCCGCCTCCAAATCAACATCCAGAACCTCGCCTCTTTCATTAAAGATGTCGACGACGCTGTCCACAGCGTCGACGAAAAATGGATTGGCAGGAAATTTAATCAGATCCTCGCGGACTCCACCCAAACCGACCAATCCTGTCTCAAATTCGGTAATGGACCTGATCTCTATATTACCAGCTGGCAGCACATGGGCGCCGATCGCGAGTGGTGTATTCCTGGCACTTCAGATGCCCAGCCCGCTGCTATTCGGCGTGCGGCGTGGGTGAGCGAGGGAGGTATCGTCGTGTTGCCTAGGAAGAGGGATATAGAGGGGAGGGAACCAGCGGCGTATGAGGTTTTGGTCAGTCTTGCTGAGGAAGATATGAAGGGATTTGAGGATAGTCTCGCGGAGGGGAAGTGGTTGGAGGATAGGCAGTAGGGAAGCTCGAGAAATGTTTCGGGGAGGTTTGAGAGTCTATGAGTGAAGATTAGTAAGTAGTGATGACCATAAGTACTTGAGCGGTTTGTTTTGTTAGACTCATTGAATTCGATCACAAAATGTTACTAAGTAACGTGTCAACATCTACAGAGATACCTTACCGAATGGGTCTTCTCTACTCCCTGATCACTTTTCACTCATGAACTCCATGCATTCTCTGCATATTTGGCTTATGAGGTTAGCGGCCAGAATTTTACCATTGTAAAGTTCTGAATATATGCTCCATTGAAACCATTGGCATTTCACACAAGGGAAATTTACATTTGCAGATCTAAGCGAAAATTAGTTTTGATTCAACCTTGAACGTTTCTCGAACCATTCCTGGATCAGTGCATGTTTTTGTCACATGACTTGGCAAGCATGGCTTGATAAATCTTTATGTTAACTAACGCATTTCACTAAGTCCTATCATGTCATCAGTACCGCGGACTCTTTAAAGATTAATCTTTTAGTAAGATGCGGCACATTTATACATGAATTAAAATCTATGAAGTTGCAATAGCAGCGAGGGTTGTCGATCACGCTGCGCGAAGGCATTACATTTACGTTCTTTGATAATGCATACAAATAAGCCACTGAAATTCTGAATTTAGAATAACTCCCATCTATCATGATCAGAAACATGAAAACTTGCGCACAGAGAGCTTAGGTGGCCCCCAATGTTATTTTCTCTTCCACACATGCAAGGCACCTTTGGTGACCGCACATGACACAAACGTTTTACCATCCGCCATGTGAGCCTTGTCTGCAATCTGAACAAAACCAAACCACATCTCTTTCTGTAGACATGCTTGTCCAGGGCTGCTGTATTCCACTCCCACTACCGATTTCAGATTCAGTGTGACTTTTTCCCTTTGATTGACTAGATGATATCTCAGGGATCTCTTCGAGCGATATTGACTCATTCTTGGCGCCAAGTCTGGGCTCATGATATGCTGCTATTTCAGCTTCGTTTGCTTGCTTCTCTGTAATTTTAGAACCACTTCCCCTTGTATTGTAAACTTTGTTCTTGAATGTCTCGAGGTCGTGACGCGTGCTAAAAGGTTTGTTTGATGAAAAGACCTCCACCTGAGGTTGCTTCGCGCGGAGATGAGAGCTGCGGATTGATGTTCCATACGACCCTTTGACAAGTGGTGATACTTTGTCTTGTACATCTGGATCCAGGGATCCTGATTTGGGATTTGAGCTAAACTTCCATGACTAGGGCCGGTACGGGGGCAGGATCGGCGCCGGGGGCATTTAGGGTATCAATGTATTGCCACCGGCGATACTTGACAAGTTTGTTGCATGTTCTGGTGGAGTCGTAAGGTTAGTATGCGGCAGAGAAGCCAACTCGCGTGGTTCTTCAGTACTATCTATTCGATATGCATGTATAGGGTCGTCTATTGCCTCTTTGATATGTATCCAAACGGATTGACAGTCGTTGGGATCTTGGAAATCGAGTAACAGACCCGTTCCATTCTTTTGGGTACAGAGAAGTGTTGCTTCCCCAGCCCTTCGGCATTCAATGCCCTTGCTTAGCTGCTCTCTTATTAGCTGGTTATGAGGCTCATTTTGATCCACAACCACGAGACATATGCCTCCTGCGAAAGACTCAAGTTGAAGATAGCCGCTCATTATAGTAGTGTCACCCTCGAACGTCCGCTTGGCTCGTTTAATGGGATATCGAACATAGTCAGCACGGCCCGGCGGTTCTTGGCTATCATTGAGTCCCTTCTCGTCCCAGAGCTCTCTGAATTTCTGTTGATTTCGCGACTCTTCCGCTTCACAGTCTGAAGCTTTTGCCATACGCTCGCGTATCTCGCGTACCTTTTTGCTCAAGAGCTTTTCAATACCCTCCACATACCCCCGAAGATGCTGCCATTCTTCTGATCCTTTAACTGCAGATTTCTGTTCAAGCTCATCGAGTTTTTTGTCCAAAAGTTCCCTGATCTTTTGTTTAACAGGCAATTCATCTGATTCCCATCTCGACTGGTCTTGTTCAAAATCGCAGATATCCATATCTAAGAGATTACTGATCTTCTGTAGATTCGGCAAATCTCCTGACTCCCAGTTCAGTGGTGGAACATCTGGTTGTGGTCGTGGTTGCGCATTTAAATGCGGAGATGAGGGGGGTTTGCTTGGCGATCGAGCTGGTTCCGACTCCCTTGGGGGCGTTGGAACCACTTCGTTGATATCAAATTGTGTATCTCTGCTTGTGTCTGACTCAGCATCTGGTTCTACAGCTGGTGGTAGAGCCAAAAGAGCAACATCTTCCATATGTCTCGCAAAATGCGTTAAGATGGCGCTCTTTCCATCTGCTGTAAGATTCAAACAGAGTGGACATTCAACTGCTTCCCATGCAGGTCCAAAATTGTGCTCGAATTCTAGGTGATTCTTCCAAGCTTGAAGGTTCGTAAATGCGGTTGCGTTGAAATGGCATTCACGATAGAAGCAGTTATATGGTTGCAAATCGCTAAAGAGGTGCTTCCTGTTCAAAATGAGTACAAGCTTGATGGACGGTGAAGTTTGAAATACCTCCATTCGCGATTGTTCTCTGCCCGTACGAGTTTTGCGCACGCGATACACTCAAAGGGTTGACCATTTTTCCCTTCTGCTGGCAGCGGTGGGATGCGGACTCGCTCGCCGCCCGGTACGCTTGTCATGAACGATACAGTCGACTCCGCATACGATGACTGTGGTTTTGCGAGAGAAGTGCCAATTCCTGAATCCTGAAATTCAGAACTAAGGCCAGTGGATTTGGTAGCAAGGGGTGCTAGCAAGCCATGTAGCTCAGGCGTCGCAGCGGTATTGTTGTCGCGCTCACGTTGCATACGTAAGAAACGTGACCAGCTGATTTTGCCCAAAACCTGCACTAAATGTACTTCAGCCTTTGGGTACTTCGTTTGTATCAGATCAGTGTGATAGTCGTGCGCAAAACGTGGGCCCACCCCTACCACGCCAGGCTCATCGTCGTGGGATTCATCCGGAGCTGGGCATTCCAAGGCAGTACCAAGACCCATCAAGCAATTTACATATGTCTTCGTTCTGCGAATCATCACATCTGCTCGTCTTGGCAAGCTATCTTCTTCTTCGTGATCATCGCCACTGTCGCTTTCATCCTCGCTTGAGTTCTCGTCGGCAGCTTTCAGGTACCATTTCCATTCACTATAGAACTCTGAGGCTGCTGTGTGCTGACGTCGGACTGAGGCATCGTTCACCTGCGGTAAGACGAAATTCGACATTCCTATTCTAATCAGTACTTCCTGTCGCATAAATAGGTATTTAACTCACCATCTAACAAATGTCTGCACAAATGGATCAGGATCTCGATGGTTGCTTGTCGAACTTCCGTTGATCGCTTGAGGTGATCATCAAGTCTTCCTCCAGCTACTCCATGGCCATGCTCCCAGAGTTGTAACGTAGCGTAGCCTTGCCGAAGCGTGCGGTTCCCAGGTGTTGTGATCCATTTAGGACTGGAATGTTGTATCAAGTTTCGAAGCAACCCGAGGCATGTCTCAAGCATGCGGGCTATCATTCCATGGTCTCCCTCTGGCTTCGGAGATATCTCCTGTTGCCACCTCTCAATATTTTCCCTACTTGTACGTGAGCTCAAGGCGATTGAAGTCATTGGTCAAGTATCGCTCGTAACTGTCAGGCCCGGAGGTGAAAAGAATGATCCGAGTTATGGAATCTCGGCTTCAGGGGTTTCACACGCAGAACTAGGTGGACTGAGAGATTCAGAGAGTTTGTTTTGCTGTTTATCAACAGCACATCAGGCTGAAGCGGGGCTGTGTGGTAGGCGGGGCTGTGCATGATGAGGTGCTTTCGCGAGACGTCTATTCAGCCGCGATCAGCCTGCCACATTATTGTTCCATACTTCTCTTTTCCTTCTTTTCAACTCTACAGGAAGATGTCTGGTTTGGAAATAACTGGCCTAGCAGTTGGCGTTTTGCCTATCCTTTTGGAAGTCATCAAGTCCTACTCAATAATATGTGACAAGATACGCACATTCCGCCGCTGCACTCTGGAGCTTGGGGATATTTTTATGGAATTCAAAGCCATAAGGGTAGTTTTCCTAAACGAAGTACGGTTATTACTAGGTTCGATTCAGAACAAAAAGCAAACAAGGCTTGATCTTGAAGACTACAGTAACCAAAGGTGGGTAAACAAAGAGACCGAAGACCAATTGAGGGCAGTACTTCAAGACAACTACGACGTTTGTGAGGATATCATCCAATACATCAGTCGAATTCTTGAGAAGATGGCATCAGAACTAGAAAATTTTGATCCGTTTTTGAGCCAGAAGTTACCGGTTCGTCTTGACTTCAGGCATACTAGGATCACGCGCTAACCTTGTCGTAGACTGAGTCTCTCAAAAAAGTTTACAAACGTTTCAGCAAAACGCTGAAATTTACTTTTAACAAGTCGAGATACGAAAAATGTCTTACCAGCCTACGAGATCGAAACAGTGAGCTAATTTCACTTCGGTCGCAAGTTGTTGCTATCGAGCAACAAGAAGTTCCTTCAGGTGTCTGTATCCAACATGTCCCATTGCCTGGTCGATTCAAGACCATTCAAACCGTTTCTCGAAAGCTTCACGAGTCTCTTTGTGGGGTTTGGCGTTGCGATCAGCCCACGCACTGCGGACATGACGCTAAACTATGTCTTGATGCCGATGTAAAACATGATGTAACCTTGGACCTTGCTATATCTTGTCGCGAATCCAGCTGTGTAGATCGTTCTAGGTAAGCCTACGCATGGATCTTGTTGGTATGCGCTGATCGCCCTCAGCTCACTACCAGAATCTACAATCTGGCTATTCGTACAATCGACAAGTACATACGCAGACACACTACCAAACACACCCAAGGTCCAAGAGAGTCTTGATATGTGCTCCGAATTGGCTCTAGAACTACTCAATCCTGTCGTCTCGAGTTCTTCCAAGAGTTTGAAGAAGAAGGCATCTTGTGATCTTTCGAAAGACTCGGCTCCAAAGAAAAAGGCTAAGCGTGTACAATTTCACGTATCTACACCACCACTTCCAACAAAAGTACCCAACGCAGATGTCCCTGGTACGCTATTTACGTTCGGAGTTGATCTCTGCAAGATGAAGAGTATTTGTGACTACCTGCGAGAGTGTTATGAGGCACGACTGCTAAAGTCGGCAAAGGAATGTATTGGCTATTTGGAGAGCGCGCAGATGTACAAGCATCTTTTCTACCTCAAGGAGAGAACGGCGAAGCCACAACTGAATAACTCGACAACTTCTACCATATCTACAATCCAGGACGCGCTCAGACAGGAGGTGTACGATGCTTTACAACCAGAGGATTGCTTGAAACTAGCACGTAAACTGGCCGTTGCAACTTTACAGTACAACGACACCCCCTGGCTCCCTGAGCGATGGCGCCTAGGTGATCTCAGCTATCTTGGATCAAGATCTTCGTTCAGCGTCGAAGCTATCAAGACTTTACACTTCAACTCACAGATATCGCGGCCCGCTACCATAGCAGATGGTCAAATGGAGGGTCTACAGCAAGGCACCGGAACAATTTCAGAACAAACACGTTACGGTATTAACAACACGACGCTCTTTTTCCTAGGCGTTGCAATGCTCGAGATCGCCTACTGGACGCCGATTGAGGAAAAGATGACGAACATGGATGAGAACAATCCAGTTTTCGCTGCTCGTAGACTTGTTCTAGATCGAGCAGCCCCGTTGGGTCCAGAGTATCAGCGAATCGCACAAAAGTGTCTCGAGTGTAACTTTGGGTTCGGAAACAAGCTGAGCAACAAGGGCTTGCAGTCTGCAGTATATAACGACGTGGTATGTCAGCTAGATGGGATGATTGAACGGCTTGAGAAACTGAGTGTGTGAAATTTGGCTCGAGTTCATATATCTAGTGGGTAATGGGGAGTGGCGTAATGGGTTTTCTTTCTACATCTTCTTTTACCACAATGCTCTAAATACCAAGAATTACAACATCAAAACAATCACCCCAAGAACAACATCTAACCCACAACAAAAACCCTCTTCTCACCTCACCCCAGTTATACGCCTTTCTGCTCAAGACGCCCACAACATAACACCAACCAGCCAAACCACCACCGCCACCACCAACACCACCAACATCACAACGAAAAACAAAACAACCCGGGATAGAACCATCTCCAAATTTACCCTATCCCACAACTTAGACAATCGCGATTGATACACCTACACCTCACACCTCCACAATCACCAGCACCAAACCCAAGTACTGTACAAACAACCGACAGCGCCGAAACCCCTGCATTTTCTTACTTCATCGAGTACGCAAATAAAGCCATGAAAAAAATTCTCGGTGTCAGAGAGAGAGAGGAAGGCAGGGAAAGAAGAGTGAAAACGAAAGGGACGTAAATATGAGGATACGGATAAACCGCTCAAATGTTAAGATGATATCTTCGAAGAAGCAGAAAAAAACGGGGGTAAAGTGCGAACATAGCATCTCACTCAAATCACTTGAATACATTTGACATAGCGTAACACACAGTTCACAGCCATATTTCTTGCATGGCACAAGCCCTTGATTCCATGATACAATACTGTACACATCCGTACAAAATCCGCCACACGATTCAAAGGAGCCCAACCTACCTCTTCTTCCCCCTGCCAACCTTCTTCTTCCCCCCCGCCATGGCCGCCGCACCCCCCTTCTTCTTCTGCCCCTCGGCCGTCCCCAGCGCGGCCTTCTGCCTCAGATACATCCTAACCACATTCTCCACACTACCGCGATCATGCTTAACCGTGCGCATATACGTGAGTCTGGCTCGTCTGGCGCGCTTAGCCGCACGTTGTACAACTTCTATGCCTTCAACCAGCGGACTGTAAATCTTGTACCACATCTCCACACCCACACGCGTGAGCTGGCCGCGGAGGAGGATAGCAGTGTCGGCGCCGCGGCGCCGGATGTTGATGCAGACGCCGGCGAAGGGGTCGCCGGAGCGTTGGCGGACGAGCAGAATATCGCCGACGCGGGCGCATTCTGGGTTGTCTTTTGCGAAGAGGCGGGTGCGGGCGCCGGTGGGGTCGAGGGTGCTGATTTGGGTGGCTGTGACGGCGGCAATGGGGTGAGGGCAGGTTTTCTTGATGTTGCGGGCAGATTGCTTAAAGACTGGGACGCCGAATTGGTGGCCTGAGGGGGTGGCGGGGTTAGCAATTGGAGTTTGTTATCAAAGGTGTGCGGAGGCGTACTCAATGCGTGGTTTACGTTCTTTTGCTTCATTACGGCTTCCCACTTTGCACTTATGGGTTTGGACGGTTGTTTCCGCCTTGTGTGTGTTTTCAATGCCCCATTAATGGGCTGGCCGTTCTCGCCATAGTATTCTGGGTACAATGCCCTGTGCAGGCGCTGGCTGAGATCCTCTCGTGGTAATCGCTGTTCACGCTTGGCAGGCGGAGGAGGCGCTGTTGTGGGAGCGGCGTCGACTACGACCGTCTCGGTGCTTGAATACCGTTTGCATCGTATGGCGCGAAAGGCGACACGTTGGGCGGTGGCCCGCGTGCAGGGGATTGCGGCTGACATTGGCGTGCGGAGTCGGATATCATGTAACATTGGGGTTCAGCGTCAAGAAATTCGAGATTGCTTATGTCAGCACAGATCTATGTACTCCGCATTATGCTTGGCAAGTTACACAGCTTGTATCGGCACACGTCTCACTATCACTGCTTTTTCCAAGGATCATTTCTTCAATATACCTCTATATTTTCTCGTGGAGTGGATCGTATTGTGAATATCTATTTCCATATGCTGACTACAGCTCCCGTCTGTAAACCCGACCTAAAAATGCACCCCCCTACGCAAACATGCTCATGAACAGTCGTCTCGTGGCATACGAATTAGAAAAAGAAAGGATAACTTTTGTTGGAATGCAAATCACCGCCGTTTGAGGAAAAAACGCAGTACACTCCGCCCATGCTGAAAAAGGAAGCCCAAACACCAATGCTCCAACAAAAAGGCAGGTGTGGTTACAAGATGGCCAGATAACATCAAGTGGGTATCGGTACTTCCGTGTTAGGCATCCAGTGGCCACATTGGCACCACTTTTCTACCGGGGTACTCCAAAGGAAAAGGGAGGTCAGACGCCTTTGAGATGCAACCGCCCGACGCCATTGGAACTAAGGAACATGTCGAACCGAAGGAATTTAAAGCCTCGCTTGGTTAAGCTGCTCGCTCAAACCCAGAATGACGCTGGGTTGCTGGAATTGTTCGCCCTGAAACATTGACGTCCGTCGTCAGCAATTGATCTGTTCAAAGTCGATTTCAATCTCTCTCCTAGGCGTCTCTACCTCTTCCATCCAAGTAAGACCATTGGCCGCTTCTTCCACTGGGAAAACCTCTTGGGCGTACTCCTCCATGGAACGGTTTCCTTCCCACAGCGACAGGGCGACAGCGGGGACGTCCGGTTCGAGATCGGGTCCAAAGTAAGGTGCGCCCTTCTCGCCTAGGGTGTACTCAAGTGCAGCGAGATGCTCCCGGTAGCCTGCGGGTGTGGGAACGTTGATCATTATGGGGCCCCGCTTGTAGCGAACTGGTCTCTTGAGGCCGACACTAAAAGCCTTGCAGACTTGTCTTGGGGTCATGGATGCAAACGCCAGTGGTATCCTAAGCTAGTCAGCATGTTGTTCAAAAAGCAAGAGAAAAAAAAGACGGCGCATATATTGGAAGCTCGATGCAACCATGGCTGCATCATGAGTGGGTGCGCAAGCCGTGGAAAATTTGACGTTTGCAACTGGTGATGGCAGACCACCTGATGGAACCATTGTGGGGAACGGGCGAACGAAGTGGACCAAGATACGTAGATGCAGGACACGCTTACCGCTTGCCGTTCCACTTACGTGGACCTTCCTTAAATAGTTGGAATATAGCTGGACCAACGTCGTGCTCCGAATCTAGCCAGGGGAGTGGCTGGTCTGGGTGAAATGGGGCTTGCCAGACAAAGCTGCCGTCATACTGATGTTCCATGCGAAACAGGGGGAAATCGAGGCCAGTAAAGTTGTTGTGGTATGCGCCGCAATAGACAAAGGTGGCCGGGAGACCAATCTGGCGGACATATTGCTCGACGGTGAATTTTGGAGCCCACATTGGTAGTGCCTTCCAGCCTTGGCCAAATACGGAGTGGTCGGGCATGCTCGAGTAGATGTAGTGCTGGATTCCGGCTTTTTTTGCGGCATCGGCTAGTGCTCGACCAATGGCAACCTCGTCGCCCCAGTGCGTGGTGTTGATGAAAGCGCACTGAGCGCTTCTGAATAGATCATCGAGAAATTTTTTGTCTTCGAGGGCCCCGATGAAGACGGTGACATTGTCGAGTTCAGAGAGCTCTCGGGCGACTATGCCATTCAAGTCTCGCATCTGGGCCCGTACCTGCCATCCTAGTGCGGCAGCGACGCGAATGAAGCTCGCCGATTGGCGGCCATTGCTGTTGATGGTAACGACTGTCCTTTGCATTCGTGTGTTTTTTTTTGGCGGAGGTGAGGGTAAGGTAGGAAAAAAGAGGGTTGTGGCGGTGAGGCTCTGGCGGGTCCGGAAAGAGAAAGTGAGTGGATGGTCCTGAGGTGGGTAGAAGGAGAGCGATTTCGGAACAAGAGTACTTGTTGGATGCTATATGGCAAGGCAAAGCAGGGCCAAGGCGCGAGGAACCCCGGGTATAGTCAGTCAGCTGGGGTTTGGGGAAGCAGGTGGTTGGTCTTGGGCGCAAAGTGGAGGGAGACGAGATAAGGGTTTGTGTAAGGGCCGTGGTAACCTGGAAAAAGCCGTTGTTGGGTTCGGCGGGGAGACTATGACGGGCCCTAAGGCGCACACACGCGCACACAGACACAAGGGGTCGAGCGGTTGATAGTGCAATCGAGGGAGGGACACGTGAGGCAGGCAATGCAGGGTATAGGCGAGGCTAGTGGGCGAGTGCTAAGGTTTAGATGGCGGGCCGATTCGCAATACCTTTGACGTAGACAGAGGCAACGGTGTTGGGGACAGAGGAGCGGTACTTGTTGGAGCAGCCGGAGAAGCAGGAGAAGCACGAATTTGAGTCGGTTCTCGTATGACCTTGCAGCCAAGTTTAGCCCTCGTCATTTGCATTGCTGGGAAAAGACTTACCTAATAGTCCACCGGCAAGGGCGAATAGGCTCCGCTTAACATGGCGACCATCTGACCGCGGCCAGGGACTGAGCACCGCACGCCAGCGAAACGTGCCGGCGGACGCTGGCTGCCATTCCCCCCAACGACACACTGCCGAGGAATAGGCTATGGGCCAGGTATGGGATGGGATGGGATGGGATGGGATGGGATATTCATCTTTGCGTTGCCACTGCTATTGCCGTTGCCGTTGATATTGCCATCCCTTGCCACATCAGACGCCGAAGCAAAGAATGTTGCCATTGTCCCTTTTTTTTGTTCACCTTTTCCAACACACAGACACATGCACACACAGACACAGACACAGACACAGGCACTATCATGGTCTCTCTGCGAGGCGTGCTTGGTAGGCTAATCCATAGACGAGCAGGCTCCACCTTTTGGAATGTACTAGCAAAAATAATGTACCTACATAGTACATACTATATCCAAAAGGATTGCAACCCAGTCTGCGAATCGATGCGGGGGATAAATCGACTACTACATGGGAATCGTACACAGGACTATACGACAACTGCATAGACGGTACACATGGACTTGCGAGTCAAGAGGCGGCATGAACAAGGGGCATGCCGGTGCACCCAGGAAATGTATAGATATGTCCGTCGACGATGCTTTGCTCGGAGGCGTCTGCCGCCCGCAGTAGTGGCTTGTGCGGTGGTGGGTGGTGAGTGAGTAATAAGAATACAGTAAAGACGTGCTCCCA